CTCAGACTAGAATTCCATTCCAAGATTCAAATCATATCAGGTATGAAAAATCTAGAAAATAAAGCAACTATTAAAAAAGAATTTATTAGAGCTTTTGATTATGCAGAATATTTTGAAAAGGAATTGATACAATTTCAAGATTCAGCTTGAAGCTGTTTTTTATATTCTTGTAAATTTTCCATTCTAGCTTGCACATTACTCCCTGGTATTGATAAGATAGAATGATTTATAATTTTTGATTCTAATTTTCTGCTAGTCTTTTTTGTTACTGGTTTACTCAAAGAAATTACTTGCTCAGGATTTCTGGCACTTGATAAGCTATGTATGGGCAAGATTTTTGGTTGAGGTATTGAGATAGATGAATTCATAGATGTTATTTCTATTTTAGATGGTTGAGAATATATCCTGTCATTTACAATATTACTGTATCATATCTTTTACTACCAATTTTATAATTAGCACATATAATGCATTTTTTATTTAGTATCTGTTTTGCATGAGCATCACTTATTTTTTCGATTGCTTCAAGAGTTAATGGAGTAGCAGTGGGGTTAAGATATTGTCAAACTTGAGATCTAACTTTGGTTTTAACCATTTTAGAAAAATATATATATTGATATTAAAAAAAATATCCGATTTAAATCTAGGAAAATATCTATTTATTTCTAGTATGTAATTGGATAAAAACTGAGTAATAATCGGGCAATAATCAGACACAAATCAGACAAAAACTGAGAAATAATTAGTACTGACTTGATTATAGATCTATTTTTATATAAAACTGGTTAATTATTATTTTATGTCTAGCTAAGTATAAATTTTTGCCCAGCTAATTACTAACTTCCGCCTAATTATTGCCTGGTTAAATACTAATTATTATTTGGGTTCCTTTTTATTCATAACCAGTAAAAAGTCAAATTGTGATTAGTTTTTTTTTCTTTGAACATAATTCTCTTCGATTATATGGTACCAATACGTACTTTGTATAGTGAATCTACTGATGCCAAAAATTTTCAAGAATGTGGATATAAATTAGATAGTAGTAGAGAACATGAACTTGAATCTCAATGCAATAAGTTGCTTCTTGAAACCGAATTTTTCACTAATAAATGTTCCGAATTTAGAAATGCTAAAGCTCTTGCAGAAGCGTGATTTGATGTGATTACTAAAGAGCTAGAGAAAAAAAATGACAAGATTTTACATCTCCAGAAAAAAATAAATCAGTATATTAATAACAAAAATCAAAATGACTTGATTAAAAAACAACTCAAAGAAGAAATTAAAGAGTTGAAAAGCAAAAATACCAACCTT